TCCTGACGTCATCTAAAGCAATATCTCCTGTATAACTACTTCCTGCAATTCCTTCAAACACTATCTGGTAGGCACTACTTGTTTCCACAAAAATTTGTCCACGTCGCCAAACATTTCCTTGCTCGTTTTTTATTGACCACACAGGTGTACCAAGAGTATCTGCTGTATTGACTATGTACACACTCAATGTGTTCACAGTGGCCCCGTACATGTGGTAGAACCACTGGACGCATGTGCCTTTTGTTGGAGGATATGACATTGTCCAAAGGCGAGCGATGTCGTTGAGGTTTCTCGGACTTGAAGTTTCAATGTATATGTAGAAACCTGTAAGCAAATGAAATAAATGTTTCGATTTCAGAGAATTTTCTTTTACATCTATTTATAATTGTGGTTTTATTTTACTATGCAGTTTCTGCAATATTTTCATTGATAATTTTACAATTTCATTTTAGATTTTATGAATGAAAATTGTCAACTTTGTATTACCTTGTAATGTTCCATATGTGTGGTCATACCAAGGGCCAGTACGAAATGAGGGTGTTGATCCAGATGTTCTTATCCAATCAAAGTCATCTAATTCATCTTGTACAAAGTAACAAAGGTTTGGATCTTCGAAATCACAATGGGCTTGATCTAAAGAAATGCACAATACAATAAAAATTCTTCTATACTTTCCTCTACCAGCAATATTTGATAATGAGTTCCGGGAACCCTATTTCTACCAATGATCAGCAGAATTTGGTATGAACATTTTGGATAATACAAAATAATCATCTAGTTTCTAAATCAACTTCCATGAAGTTGAACAGGTATCAACTGGATATATTCACATGTTAATAGTAACTACCAAAACATCTTATATTTGTAGTTTTAAATATTTTAATATTACATTATTAGCTTCTTCAAAACTGATTTACTGCATTTGACAGATTCTCATTCAAACTAAAGACGACTTTCTAATACCTGAAAGATTTACAACATGCTTTAAGGTAATAAGTTAATACGTTTTTCTTTGAATACAATAATGTTAATGTTAAAATTAATTAAAGAATTAAATAAACTGTGCCATTAAATAATACTAGAATATCTGCTTAAAGTTAAAATTATTAAATAATAGTCTAATTTTTCAATGTTGTCTCTATCTTATTTTCTTTGTCTTAATATCATTAATAACATGAGGACAAAATATTTAATATCACATTTGCAAACTTAAACTCATGACTGATGTTCACATCTATCTTAACGTTTGCTGAGTGTTTTTGCTGTTAACTAATTGTAAATGTTTAGTAATCTTCCTATTAAGCTGCATTCACATCGGATCCGAACAGAAATTCGCGCCGCGTTTTCGAAGGGCTGAGCTGCAGCGTCCCTGTTTCTTACACACTGATTCGTTTATTGATCGCTTGAGCAGATGTCCCGATTCGAAAATTCGGATTTGGTGTGAATCATGTTAATGCACCTTTAGTCCTGCTTTATTCATATGGCATGATAGAGGATATTTAACAGGTGGTAAACCTATGCGTTTTCACAAAATTTTTGTCATGATTACTGTTGGTGCACTCCAACACTAAACGTAAAGATAGCCAATAAATATTAAAAGCTAACCAATAAAATACACTAAAACATACATAATTATGTTGCTGTCTAACTGAATTAAATAAAATGCATACTGTCTAATCTTTTTACATGGTATTCATGTTGTATAAAATGTTAACAATGTTCTGCACTCTAGGATAACTATTATATTTAGCTGCATGCGTAATCCACATTTAAGCCTTAACTGTAAAAGCTTACCTCTATTGCATGTTGGTCCAAAAAAACCAGTCATACACTGACAGTTCTCGATACCATAATCCAAAATGACACAAACTCCACCGTTCATGCAGTTAATATCGCAAGTTTCTTCAATTATAA